CGGGCCATGCTGCCCGCAGCCCCCGCGGCACCGGGATCCAGAGGCCCCTGTGCACGCTGCTCTGGACTTGAACATGAGCCCCTCCCAGCAGGAAGGCTCTGCTCCAACCCGGGCCTCGGCCGTGAACCAGAAAATGGGACAAACGGGTCCCATGGAGCCGGTAGCCCTGCTCTGAGATGGTCGCTGCCTCCACGCCCACCCAGGTAAGCAGGGCGCGCGCCCACTGTCTCCTGTCCTCCACCGTCCTTCCCTCCGTCCTTGTTACCACATAGATAATGCTGGTGAAGCGCAGGTCTATGTCTAAGGTCTAATCTATGAAACCACACATAGTGCGTCATGTGCACCGTGTGAGCACACGTGACCCGGAACACTCCATGGGCGGTGCAGTGGCGCCCAGCATGTGGGCTGCTCTCTTCCTGGCCTGGGCACTGGGTGAGGCCCATCCTCGGGCTCCAGGAGGGGCAGGGGGCACCTTTGGCCTGAGCCATGGACAGTAGGCTCCTTGACCCCCCAGCTGTGGGGTCCCCAGTGGGGGACAGGGCAGGGCACCGAGGAGGAAGACGGCCCCCAGCGCGGTCCTGACAAGGAGGGGCTCACCTGAGTCGAAGGCCTCGGGGCGGTCCTGGGCGCCCGGCTCCCAGACGCTCATGGGGCCCATGGCCGAGGCCAGCTGGTACTGGGTGAGGAGCCGGTGCAGCTGCGCGGGGCTCAGGGCAGGGAATGCGGCCTGCAGGCTCGCCCAGCTCATCTAAGGGACAGTGCAGTGGCGCGCGAGGTCAGGGCCCAGCAGGCCCAGCAGGACCCACCCCCAGGGTGGTCTGCCTCTGCGACCTCGGGGCACAGGCAAAAGGCGTGTCCCCGCCAGCACGCAGGCCTCCGGGCCCATGTGCAGCGGGAGGTCAGCTCAGGGTCGCAGGCGGTGCTGCTGGTGATTCGTGTTCCTCTCGGAAGCTGGCGGGTTTCTCTGTCCACTGTCTGGCTCCACGCGTGGGGCCACGTGCTAGGACCACATGTGGGCCGGTGCGAGGCTGCAGGCTGGCCTGTCCTCGCTTGTGTTTGCTCCTGGACCACTGTTTTCTCAACTCTTCCTGGACTCCTACTGTTGGAACGTTGGTCCTTTCATTTGCCTTCTTCCTTGCTCGCTCTCCCGCTCGCTCGATTTTACCGCCAACAGCAGACGCCCAGGCTGCGGTCAGCCAGTGTCCACGCTGTCCTCTTGCTAACACCCCAGGCCACACTGCTGGCCGGGGGGTGGGGGTTCTTGCTGATTTCCCAGCTCCTAGAATCCCCGCCGCACTGAGCTGTTTCTCCAGCTGCGAGCACCGAACGCCCCGGGTCAGCTCCCTGCTCTACTTTCCGGGTGATTTCCTCAACTTCATCTTCCAGCTCTGCTGCTGAGACTGTAATGTCCAAGGATCCTTTCTATTCTCTTTCTTGCAGAGCCTGCTAGTGTTCGCAGTGGTGCTGCGTTTATCTTTGTGAGGACATGTGTGGCTTTTCGAAGGGTTTCTCCCTGGACAGCCTGGCCAATGGGGGCCTGCGGCTGCGGGTGCTCAGCCCTCCAGCTGAGCGCGGCTCCCCGTTTCTAAAGGGCTTCAAAGAGAATAACTTGGGACTTCAATGTCTGTGGCCCGCAGAGCCTAAAACATGTCACCTGGCCCTGCACGGGCAAGTCTGCCAGCCGACCTGTCTCTCCGACCTCACGCCCCACCTCTGCCTCCGCCCCTCCTGCACCGTGGGAACCACGGCAGTGCTCCTCGGGGGCTGCTCCCCCACCTACAGCGCGCTCTGCAGTTGGCAGGCTGCCTGGAGCAGTGACGCACCTGCTGGGGGCTATGCAGCAGGTGCCTCACGTGGCCGGCACACCGCTCTCCCCTCATGCTGCTCTTATAGGTTTGTCTGCTATTTCACTGATTTTGGCTAACAGTTCCTTCTACTTGCTCTGGGTTTGACTTGTTTTTCTTTTTCTTGCTTCATGGTGATCGCCCTTCCCTGCTTTCTAACATGTGTCCTTAAGGCTATTGTTTTGCCTGTTGGCACTGCTTTAACTGCACCCACCAGTTTAGTACATGCATCTTCATCGTCACTGATCACCCTGACCCAGTGGAGGTCAAACTACCACCACTTCCACTCGGCTTTTCAGAGTGTTTCCTCAGTTTAAAGCCCTTCCTATCCCACATCCTGGAGCTTCACGATTTTGTCAAATGTCATGAGGGAGAGGCACCGATCCTCTCAGGCTCCTCAAGGGTCGCACGTTTGTCTCCCTCTCTGTAGACGGCCAGCTGCTCTGAACGCCCCCAGCTCTGGCCCATCTGGACGAAGCCTAGATTTCTCTCTCACAGACCCTGGTCCCCGATGAGGCAAACGCCCCAGAGGAAAAGCCACAGCAGAACAGCTTTGTGGTTCCCTCGGTCCCCGCGGCTCCGGGGTGTGCCCGCCGCCGCACTCGCAGGCACTCCGTAGACAGCTGTGCCCTCCTCACAGCAGCAGGATGGGTGCCTCTTGGAGCTTCGAGGTCTTGGTCTTCGGGTAGACGTGGATTGTCCCACTCTCATACCAAACTGAAATGCCCGCCGTCCCCACGCGGACGGCATGCCGTGTGGCTGTGCTGGCGGCAGCTCGGGGCTTGGCCTGGAGATGGCCGACAGCCACATTACCGCCTTGGCTCGGACACGCCCTCCCCGGCGGCCCTGCACACGCTCACGGTCACTCCGGAGACGCGTTAAGGGTGAGGCCAGGCAGGCAGGGAGCACCACTGGTCTGGCTTCATGGATGATCTGTGACAATTTGTCAGGCAGCTGGTGGGGAGGAGGGTGAGGTGGTGTATTAGTTTCCGGTTGCTGCTGTAACAGATGACCACTAGGTAGCAGTTAAAGCAACAGGAATGTACACTCTTACACTTTTGGGGGTCACTCTGGGTTCAAATCCAGGCCGGCAGGACTGTGTTCCTTCTGGAGGTTCCAGGGCAGGGTGGTCAGAATCCAGTGCCTGTGGGGGCACGGCCCTCCCCAGCTCTAGGAGGCACTGCGGCCCGAGGCCCCACCTCCATCTCCAGAGCCAGCAGCGCGGGTCAAGTCCCTTGTTTTCCTCGGTCCTGCCTCTCGTTGCTGACACCAGAAGGGCTCGTGCGATTAAAGGAGCCCATGGCTAACCCAGGGCCTCTCCCACCAGGGTCCTTGGCGTCAGTCCCCTCTGCAAAGCACCTCCCCCTCCCGGCCCTGCCACGTGGGGTCACACTGTCTGTTGCAGGTCAGGGTCCAGACCCTGCAGACCCCGCACACAGACATTTTGGGGCCGTTTTCCTGCTCACGGGTGGGAACGGCTGTGGGACGGAAACAACTCACCCGCTGACCCTGCCCTCGCTCTCTCCGCTCTCCTACCTGGATGAGCTGGGCGCGGGGAGTGGCCAGCAGGTTGAGGGTGCAGGACAGCTTCCGGAAAAAGTGCTCCCCGGCCTCCCCGAAGCCCGCGCCCCTGGTCC